ACAAAGCTTGAACAAATAGAAGATTTCAGAGAACCGAAATAGAAGGTCTAGTAATTGATTATGCTAGTTGCGTCATTTTGTCTGCATCCGATTAAAATGCCAAGCCAAGGAAAAGTGGCATGTTGCAATGTTCAAAAGGACCGAGAAAGAAACGACATTATGATGGCCGAAACCTTAGAAAATAAGAGGCCAACCTGAAGCCAACTCATCAATTTGGACATTTGTCAAAGAGTTACAACTCTGAAAGCATTAAAGAGCTATTGATTCTTTTGGTTTTCGTTGAACTCATGTTTATGATTTGATTTGATTCGAATTTGAGCCTGAATTAAGGGGCAATGTTTTACAAAATTCATATATTTTTTCCTAAAATAAGAGAAAGGAGAAAAATGTTTTCAAACAGGACAGTCTCAAATGTGAAAGGCTGCAACCCAAGAAGAAAATGGGGCATGATCGATTCCTAGGTCCAGATCGGCAGACAAAGAATGAGACTCCATCCAGAAGATAAAACAAGAATTAATTCATGTTGCATACATCTTAGATATACTTAAGAGCATCACATTTATCATTTTTTTTCACATATATGATTTTTGTAACTTTAGAGTCAAGTTTCAACTTCAAGACGAAAGATACTCGACTCAAAAGCACCTTCAGAAAATCGATGGTGGTTGCTTAACTCAGTGGCGAGGAGCTACACCTCAATCAACTTGACATATTGAAAGATCGTTAGATCTTAGAATCAACTTCGGACGGGTTTGAGAGCCAATTTAGAACGAATCCAGTTCAGCTTAACTCAACGATGAGTGGCTAGTTTCCAGTTAACGTTTTCAAAGCCAGATTTCAACTCCACAACGGATGATATCCGACTGACAAAATTTACTGCTTGACTTTCCCGAAAAGGGAAGTCATTTAAAGAATTATGATTGACTTAGACCCTTGAAGGAGGGCCATCCTTCATTTAGAGGAAATTTACAGCACAACTTAAGCTGAGAAAAACTGCCTGTCAACAAACATTTCTAGTATCATTCAGAGTCAATTTCAACTTCACAGCGAAAGATATTGAACTTAAAAGCATTGCAATTTTGGATTTTAACTTCACAACGAAGGGCATGCAATTCAAAGCTCAACTTCACATCAAAGTAGCCATCCACGATTTGAACTTCACGACGAAGGATAGTGCCCAAGTGGATTGACTTAGTTTCACAGCAAATGAGTTATCTGGAACAATAGAGAGTTATCTCCTAGCCTATTACAGTATAGCTCAAGGCGAGAAGGGTTATCTGCCAACAAAAAACTTCGAGTTCGATTCCATTCAGCTCAAGAACATATCAAATTTACAACAAAAAACTGTCGAGTTCGATTTTATTCAGCTCGATGACATATCAACCGTATGGTAGCAGCGAGGAACTACTTTTCGGTTGAAGTTTAAACCAAAGTCTTTAAGTCAAGAGGAAGATCTGGGGCAATCTCTCAGCTAAGTACAACATAATTCAAGGCAAGATGGGTTATCTATCAACAAAAACTTTCGAGTTCGATTCCATTCAGCTCGGGGGCCCATTAACCATATGGTAGTGTCAAGGAACTACTTTCCAGTCGATTTTTTAAATCGAGGTCTTTAAACCGAGGAAAAGACCAAGGTTGACTACTATTTGGCGACAAGAAGCCACATTCCGATTCCAATTCCAAACTACGGTTTCAATTTCATGAAGAAGGATTTCATTTCAATACTGACTCGACTTCACGGTGGAGGAGTCATTCGTAACTCAATTTAACAGGGAGTTATTCCTAATTGCAATACCAGAGTCAATTTTCAACTCCACAAGGGAGGATATTAGACTCAAGGACCCCTTCATACCGAACGAAAATTTGTATCATTTTATCTTTGTCCCATTTTTCGTTACACGAAAAAGGACAAAGAAGGGCAGCTGTAGACACCCATTTTCGTCCGGGATTTATTTAGTATTTAGAAAGCGGATTTTGAAAACATTTTGAAAAAATATATATAATATATAGTTTTTGAAAACATTTTGAAAACATATATAATATATAGTTTTTGAAAACATTTTGAAAATATATATAATATATAGTTTTTTGAAAACATTTTGAAAATATATGTGTAATATATAGTTTTTGAAAACTTATATAATATATAGTTTTGAAAACATTTTTTTGAAAACTTATATAATATATAGTTTTTTGAAAACATTTTGAAATATATATAATATATAGTTTTTTGAAAACATTTTGAAAATATATATAATATATAGTTTTTGAAAATATTTTTTGAAAACTTATATAATATAGAGTTTTGAAAACATTTTTTGAAAACTTATATAATATATTGTTTTGAAAATATTTTTGAAGACATATATAATATATAGTTTTGAAAACATTTAAAAAATATATATATCATATATAGTTTTAAAATAATTTTGAAAAAATACATATTATAATATATTATTATTATTATTATTTGTTTTTATTTATTATTTTATTAATATTTTTTATTTTATTTTAAGGTCCAATAAGGGTCCATGTTAGGGCCTGCCTGACCCAGCAGGCCAAGGACGAGTAAAGCCAAAATACCCAGCCAACCCGAGCAGCCCAATCTAAAATTAGGGTTTTCCACATTTAGCTACAATGTCACACAGACAGGAACCGTGCGATCAAAGCACGAATGAACGACCGAGGTTGAAGTATACCGAGGGTAACAAAACCCTATAGAGATGCATGGTCGTGCCGTCAGATCTGGACTAATGGATCTGACCCAATCCAACAGTCATGCAACCAAAGTCTCAGTCAAAGAAGAATCGACCGGCCGAGAAAACTAAAACTTCACTATCCTGGGATTCCCGTCCACATGAACGATGGTATGCTCGAAACGAGGAGAACAACCCCTTCAAGATCGGTAACAGACCCTCAAAGGGGTTGTATAAATACCTCCGGTGAGGCACACCCAAGAAACATGGATTGGAGGCGGCAACAACACATTGAACCACAGAAAAACCAACGACCAAAAAACAACCAAACACCAGCCAAAACACAGACAAAGCAACTACACTGGAAAAATTAGGAAGAAGCATCGTGTACAAAAAACCTATTCACAACAAGTGAAAGATCGAACAGAAACATAGAAAAATCCAAGCAAAACTCGAAAAGTATTCGAGTATTTTTGAAAGAATATCGCAAAAAAGCCGGTAGCTTTCATCTGAGGTCGAATTGGGAAACGAAGAGCCACGTCGGAAAAGGTATATTTCGAGGCTCTGGAACTTAGATCTACGTCGTTTGGGATTCTTTTAGAGGAATCAGTTTTCAGATTCGTGTTTAAGGTGTAGAGGAGGACGTTTTTGGTGAGTTTGTTTTTTTCGGCTGCCACTCGCGACGGTCTGGGCGATGTGCTAGTCTGGGATGGTGGTCGACCTTCGGCCGATTGATTTTCAAGGGAGAGGTTTTTTTTTGATTTTGGGTGAAAATGATTTTTTTCGGTTATGGGCTATTTATAGCAAAGGAACCACATTTTAATTAGCAAAGTTTTAAATTATTTTCCCAGCCCTTGTAAGTTTGAAGTGTAATTCATTTTGGTCACCTGTTATAAATTGGCCTTTGAATTTTGAATTATTTCAATTTAATCCTTGTTTATATTTTTCATATTTTACGAATTAACCCCCGAATTTTTTTTCTATTGCAGTTCATTTTTAACATTAATTTCAGTCCATAAATTCCAATTTAATTCAATTTGATTTTTATCTATTTATGTGTTTATTTAATTTTCGGTTTTGTTTTGTATTTTATTAATATTTAGTTTCTTAACATTTTTTTACTTTCAAAATTTTTACCTTTTTTATTTTTTTTTATTTTTTTATTTTAATATTTTCTCAATTTTATTTATCTTTATTTTATTTATTTTGTTTTTTTTCTTATTTTTTTGTTATACTTATATATTTCGCAATTTAATATTTTTTTATTCTTTTTTATTTTTTCCCTTTTGATTTATTTAATATTTTTTCTTGTTTTATTTTATTTTTTTCTTTTCCCTTTGATTTATTTAGTATTTATTGATTATTTCTTATCTAACATTTTTTACTTTTTATAGATACTTTCAATCGATAAAAGGTAATTAATTTGAATTGAATCTTTAAATTTTAATTTTATTTTTAAATTTTCGCAATTAAGACATCCGACAAATTAAAACGGTACCCAAAGGGCAGTTCAAGGATGCTAATCCTTCCTTGACTGTAACCGACTCCTGATCCGACATATTTCCAGTAAAATGCAGATCAGGTAAGATGGTGTCCGATCAACCAAATTTTCATAAAAATGATCGGTGGTGGCTCTAACATTTTTATTCAAGTCGAAGCCGAATTTCGGACCCACTCGAAAGACGACCACGACAGCGGTATAAAAGAATATGGTTGAATTTTGGTCAAAAATAGACTTAATAAAAGATGAATTCAGAAATGAGAAAAGCATACAACATTGATGGATTAAACTTAAAAAATAGAAAATTTGTATCAAAAAGAGAAACCGAAGATACACAAATATTCTACAAGGGTTTATAATCATATGGTTCAATTTGATAGAAAAAAATATTTAAAACGAATGAGAAATCAAGAATACAGAATTAAATTTTTTATTTCTAGATGGCTTAAAATTTTTAAAAATTTAAAAACCTAGTCGATAATTTGAGTGTTTGTGTTCCATGCATTTATTTAAAGTTCAATGCACACCCAGATTAATAAAGAAAAAAAGTTCAATGCACACCCAGATTAATAAAGAAAAAAAGTTCAATGCACATGATTGTTGCTATTGATGGTAAATCATTCTCCAATTGTCATTGCCGAAATTCATATCATCCAAAAAAAAGTGTGAAAATGTATAAAAATTGGAATAACAATTTGAGAATAAAAATTTTATCCCATCATTACGGTACGTCTCCGTAATGCCGTTGCTTGGGAGTTGAGAATTTGATGAGAACTAAACAATGATTCAATGAAATCCCTTTATTACCAATAGAATGGATTTAGAAATGGTTGTCTTAGGTCTTCCCCATCCCACAATAAACCACCATAATCTTGGTCAATTATAAATGCAGCTGAAGTATCCACAAGGGCAATGTTATTATCAGAAGCGGCGGCGGCGGATGTATCAGCAAAAGGAATAGCCCGAGCAGGGCTGCATTGTTGCAGTGATGGGAATGGTTTGGCCATCAAGGCTTCGTGCTCAACTCCAAAATCTTGAAACATGGGATTCAAAGAAGCAAGCCTCATCGACAGAAACTAAAGAAAAAAACATGACATAAAGACAAATATTATGATAATGATCAAAATGAAATTCTTTTCGGAAAGGTATTCCCACGTAGAATCGACTTTCCAAAGGTATATTTTAGAAGGCATATTTTTACTTACGTGATAGGTTGTTAGATGATTTATTCCACGCTGACATTATGTAGTGTGAGTCAAAGTCACATATGGGCACAATTTGGTCGGATGACAATAACAGCACGTGTATATAAGTTTTATCTTATATATATTATATTTAAATATTTTAAAAATCGATTTGAGAAATTCACGAAAAAAAACACGTTAAAACAGTTTGGTAATCATACCTCTGCTTGATGTTGGAGGGAGATAACATAGTTGATAATTTCGTCCAAAACAAGAGCCCTTCTGGTTATCTATTTCCATGGAAAACAACAAGAAGAGGCAGTGAAAGCTGTCAAAATTCAACGTAGAAATGAAAGAAATGATGAATTACTACTGCACCTTATCACAGCCTGGAACCAAACGCTGCAGTTTTTCCATCTTCTCTTTTATTTTCTTTCTTCTTTCCTGCAATTCAACTCGATAATTAAGGTCGACGCCATAGCCGATAATGATTTAAATCCGTAAAATCAATACCCTCTCTGCTAGACTATGCCTGTCGGTTGCTTGGCCTCTCCTTGCTCTCACATGAACGCACCCACTCGGTGGCTCTCCAGCACATTTCTTTATCTTCCTTATCTTCTTCTTTCTCCCTCCCTTTTCACTCTAATGGGTAAACCAAACAAATTCGTAGAAATTTAAACTACATTAAACAAGATTTAATATTAAAACTAACTTCAACGTTTGTCTGATGATTATTTTAATTCTTTATTTATTTTTTCTAATAGTTTAGGGGATGGCAAGATATTTTCTTTAACTTGTTGTCAAAACAAACGTAGCTGCTCAAATCAAGTTTTCCGAAAAAGATAAAATTTCTTTTACTACTAAAGCTACTTGATAGATTATATTCTTTAAAAACACTCAAAAAATATTTCATTTTTGGTCAAAATAATTTACATTTGATAAAAATTATTAACGATCAACACATATTACAAAAGTAACATTTTTATATGAACTTAAACTCAAGGTGGTAGATAATATAGCATATACCGTCACTAAATGATGTCACATATATCATATCATAAAAAATGATGTTATGAAACGTGATACATCATTAGATGATATGACGTATCATGTTAACTAAATTAATGATAAGATACTTAACATATCAACATTTAAGTATATTTTTAATATATATTAATCATTAGTTTATTTTCATCACATAAAATAAAAGTGAATTTAACTAAAAGTTAAAACAATATAAATTAAAATATCTCAAGAAAAAAATGAAAATATAAATAAATATTTGAGATTCTATATTTAAGATAATTTTAACATCCAAGTATATTCTTGTTTGAATGTACTCATTTTCTTCCTACAGGGTTAAAATTGTTTTTAAATGGGATCAAGTTAGGTTTTATTTGATGGCTTTATAAAATTTCCTTGTGAATAAAAAAAACAGAAGATTACCTTAGACTGAGCAGAACTGGAGCGTTTGTTGCCTGTGAGAGTGGCAGTTTCAAGGTTTTCCGGCGCAGTTGAGTGGTGGGTGCTCTGGTTTTTAATAAGCGAACAAAGGTACTCATTGTCACTACCAACAATCATTGAGTTTTCGATTTCAGAGAAGCAATCAAATTTTATGTTCTGGGTTACGTCTAGAAACCCAGAACTTGTATTTGGTGAGAAGATGGGACCAACGAGAAATGGGTTTGAAAAGGATGCCATCAAACCAAAAACAAAGGAGACACGATGATGCCAAGCGCCGCTGCTTTTTATATCAGCATGCGGAGAGACTTCATCTTATTTGGACTTATTTTGGAATTTAGACTCTACTTTTTAATTTTGAATGTTGTAAGTGGACTTTAAATTTGATCATCGACTATTTAATATTAATTATTTGTGACTTAAGCATTTGTTTATACAACTATGTTTAGGGATTTTATATGCTGGATAATGTGTTATTTTTTTTTGTTAAGGAGCCCATGGGCATGTTTAGTCTCAAATAGTATAGTGTTAGTATTTTTTTGAATAATTTGTTATTAACAATACATATATTTTATAGATACAACGGTTCAAATACAGGATCTCTAAGGATAATAATATTCTCTTTTACCATTTAAACTATTTGATAAGTTCGTACAATGTTAATAATTTATGAGTGTAAAATAACTTAAAACAAATAATAAAATTGATACTTGATTTAATGAAAAAAATAAGTATTCAATCAATATTTTTGTTCACTTTAGCTGGTTAAAGTATTTTTCATTTGAAGTAAGTATTCATTATTTCGGAACTTATTCTTTTATGTGTCTATATCGTAATGTTCGTTAAAAAAATTGTTATCTAACATGTATCATATATATATATATATTATATTTTTTTACATTTTTTATTTAAAAAATCAAAATATATCGTTAAAATAAACCAAATTTCTTAAACACGTGAATAATGAACGTGAATTACAAATATAAATTTTATATAAAATAAGTTAAACATAAATGTGGCAGGAAGAAAGGTATCCATATGAATTCGAAACTTAAACACGTGCGCGCATGTTTACGGCATGCATTTCAATGAACTCAATTCAGCCACGTAAAGTTTATTTATTATATTTATTATGAAATATTTAAATATTAATAAAATATTTTTAAGGTTTAAGATTGTATTTATATGTAATTATACAAACAGATATAACATAAAAGTTATAATAGGATGAGCGCTTGATCGAGTTGAATAAATTTTTTAAGTTATTTAATTTGAGTAGTCGTATTTTATAACTAAATTTTTATTTAATTCTTTTCGAGTCGAGTCAAATTCTTAGAGTTTATTTTTAAATTTAATTATAAATATTTTATAATATTATAATACTATTTGTTTCCAATTTAAACAATTTTTTATAATCATATACAATACATATATTTAATTTTTATATGCGATACAAATATATTATACTTAATTGAGGGACTCGGCTCGACTCAAACTTAAAAATAAATCATCTCATTACTAAAAATTAAAAGTTAATTGAGTTACTTTTCGAGTTCTATTTTATAACTCGATTTGAATTTGAAATTTTTTCGAATCGAGTTTATAAGATTATGAGTCGAGTCGAATAAAAAACCCATATATTTTTTCAACTAAGTGTGTTCAATTTGCCAACTTTAAGGTTGTATTCGATCGAAAAAAGCCCTAAATTCGGCCAAATGGGATTCAATCGAGAGACTCGTTTCAAAACCACAAAAAAGGAAACTATAAAGGGGCAAAACCCACTGAAAAGAAGCCATATTTGGAAGTCAAAAGCCAATTTTTGAAGAAGATTACAAGAAGAAAGACGAAGGTTAACAAGTCGGAGGCTAAAGCACATGAGGAAAACAAGAACCACGAGGATTAACAGTTACAAAGCTTCAATTAAAAAAAAATCAATTTTTTGGTCGAGTTTTGCACTCTTGTCATAACCAATTTTTTTTAAAACAATTAAGTTTTAAAAAAACAATTATGACATTATTTTGAAAAATTGGAGATTTTGAATTAGTTTGAATTAAATTGAATAGAAGTCACCATCGACTTTTGATCTAGGTAAGTCGAATACCTGAAAATTATCTTAAAATAATTTTAAAAAAAATAGTTTTTTAAGACAAAAATTGACCCGTGTTTACCAAAAATCCGATTTAACGGGTCCGAGAGTCGGTTACGCGTGGGGAATGATTAACACCCTCACAACACCAAAAATTGATACTTAGTCGCTTATACATTGTCGTAAAATGGTTGAAATTATAAATCGAATATAAAGTCAGAAAATGATCCATTTATTAAAGTCTAATTATTATTTTTTAATTAATTATTTAAAGAAATTTTTTTGACTTGATAAGAAATTTCGAAATTCACAATCCTCCGTCGAGAAAGCTATCTCGACTATTTCTCATCCGTAAAAGAAGATTCTATCTCCGAATTATTTTAAAACATTGAATTATTATCTGAATTTTTGCATGAAATAAATTATGATTCATTTTTTTAAAACATAAATTATTAATTCTAACATTAATTAAAACAACATGAAAATAAAATAACAAAAAATAAAAAAAATTATTATTTTAATAAATACATAAAAGCGCTCGTAATTTCAAGTTCATATTCTGTTCGAACGTCGTATCGGATTACATCACTTATATCAAGTGGTGCTTTCCACGCCCATTCTACAAATAACGTTCTTGAAACTATTCGACTAACACATCAAAGGAGTCTAATGAAAAAAATAAACATGAACTAGAATATATTTATATAATATACATAGAGAACAAAATATTTATTACAAATGGGATTAACGAAATTTATTTAATAAATATATAATATACAAAATATGTATATACATAAAGGACTAAAACAAAACAAGAAATCATAACACATCAAAAACATAAATAACCAAATAAACATATTTGGTAATTTAAGGGATTAAAATGGTACTATCAAAAACTTGAAGGGCTAAACAATAATAAAAAAAATAAGACATAACCACAATCGAACATATTAAGCAACAAAGGCACTGGGAATTAAATAATCCATAAATAATCTTGAGGACCAAAATGAATTAAACCAGAAGCATTAAAGAGCCAATAGTAATTAAGCCTAAATGCATTCATACTAAATAGTGACTAAAACAAAAGAATCATCTAACTTAGGACCAAATTCGAAAATAAGCAAACATATGGACTGGAGACTTAAATGAATACTGGGTAAACTTACGATTCAAAACATAAAACACACAATTTTATACATTAGTAAATACTAAGGACTACAATCAAAGGTTATGTAAAATCAAAGGTCAAGAGTCTAAATATGAACAAATATCATAACCAAATTATAGGGGCTGAAATAAAACATAAAATAAAGGAAGAAACCGGAATGGAAATAATGAAACCTTCATTAAGTGACCAAAACGTAAGTGTTACAAAGATGGAACCCTCCCTGTGTGATTAGCCCATGCGTTAAAATACCAACTAGTCCCATCAAAACTACGTCATTTCGTGGGTGATATATAAGCCCGAAACCAAGGCTTTCCCTTTCATTCTCCTAATTTTGTTTGGTTTAATAGTAGAGGGAGGGGAGATAATTCTCAAATTCTCTCAACTCCCTTATCGGGGAAGAGAAGGGCCACCATTCGTCGGTGGCGCTTCTCAGCGGCTCACGACGGCTCATGGTGGCCGGAGAGAGCCAAACACCCCCAAAAGATTATTCTCCTCGCTCTCAAACCAAAAATCAAGTCTAAATCCCCTAAAACACAACCTTTCGTCCTAGATCTAAAAGAATCTAGAGGTTACCTTCTAAAATCGAAAGCTTTGTCTCAATGGAGACCACAGTTCCGAAAAATAACAAAGGTATACTCTCTCTTTTTTTATGCTTTTCTTTTCTTTTTTATTTTTGTTTGAATGATCTCTTCGAATCTAGTTTTTTTCTCTTTGGTTTCTCTGAAAACTCTCTCGAAAATCCATTCCCTTTTTCGAACCACCCTGTTTTTTATGTTGTATGTGTACTTGGTGATCTCTGTTGCCTAGGAGATATGATATTATTATCCTATTTTCATTAATTGACAAGGTATGATTTTCTTTGGATTTTCTGACTGATGGTGTATATGCTTTCTGTCACCGTTGATGATGACGACGGGATTGATCAGCTCCGATAGCGGCTGTGGCGAGAGTGAGTTTCGGCTTGAGCGGTGGTTGGTTGTTGGTGTTAGGGTAAAAACCCTAATCTGGGTCAACTTGGACCGTTGGATCAAATCTGATCTAACCGTTATGGCATGTGGCGGCTGAAGGATTAGGGTTCAAAAACCCTAATTAATATGGGTTACTGAGTTAGGCTATAGTCAGGTCGGATCTCGGGCCTTAACCGGGTCATCTGGGTGAGCTGAGGGATCTCCATTGGGCTTGGGTTGATACTGTTGGGCTTTTGCAACTTGTGGGTTTCGGGTTGTATCTGGGTTGGGTTGTAATTTGGGCTTCATTTGGGCTTGTAAGAATGTAAATTAATGTTATAAATAATAATAATAATAATAATAATAATAATTTAAGACCCAGACAAAAACGAGTGTCTACAACTCCTACATACAAAAATGGACAGAGAGAGGAGCGGACGAGAGCAGCCACCCATGTTAAATTTGTATTTTCTATTGATAATATGTTTTGGTCCCTTAAAATTTTATAAATTATCTCTCTTCTAAAAATTTAAAAGTCCCATCCCTAACATAAAATATTATTTTTGTATAACCACCGATTTTTTATTTATTGATCGACTAATTTGGATCAGATACTACAGAGGCGAGGACGACCCTCTCAAGTCCCAAGCCACTGGTTGTTCCATTTGCAAACGCAAGAATTCGAACTCGTGACTATACTTAAGAGATTTAGTCTCTCGTCTCACTAAACCAACTAGTTATTGGTATCTAACATAAAATATTATATCCGTAATTGTATACGTCTTTAAAATATATATTTATTTTGATCAAAATTATATTAATCATTTAATAAATCATTATTTTTCAATTGAGATTTGAAATAATTTTATTGTTAAATTAAAATTATCAGTATATTTTAATGATGGCATTTCAGCTAAAT